AAGAAATTTTGATTCATCCACGTTCCAATTTCGCCAATGCATTCTTCCACTTTCCAAAGCTTGCGTGAAGTTAACTTCGGCCTGTGCAGGTTTCACTGGTACATAAATCTGAGTGTCATCTGCGTATAGGTGGTAAAGCAGATTATGACGACGAATGATGTCCCCAAGGTGAAGTATAGATTGGGAATAATCCAGGCCCAAGACATGAACCTTGGGGTTATCCGCACTTCATCGGAGATGTCTTTGTTGATGCGGACTGCTTAAGATCTTATTGTTAAAAATGATTTGAACCAGTTCAGGGCAACCGCAGTGATACCAAATCTATGCTCTAGACGATGACGTAGAGTATAGTGGTCCACAGTGTCAAACGCTGCCGATAGATCAAGTAGGACCAGCAACACTATCTATCCATAATCTATGGCGTTCAAAATATCAGTCTTTACTTTGAGAAGTGAGGTTTCAGTGCTATGAAAAGCACGGTAGGCTAACTGGTACTTCTCACAAAGGTCATGCCGTTTCAAAAATGGAACAAGCAGTGCGAGAACTACACGTTCTAGAGTTTGCCGAGAAATGGCAAGTTAGACACCGGTCTGTAGTTCTTAAACTCGTTCCGGTCCAGTGTCTCCTTTTTCAGAAGAGGACGAATGTGGGCAATTTTTAAGTTGTCCGGGAAAACCCCATTTAACAAAATACACGTATTGACTATCTTTGTTGTGCGAGGTACTATCACACTGGTGCATTTCTTAAGGAGTGTGGTAAAAATTGGAACCAGCTGACATGATGAAGTTGGGGCATTGCGTATAATAGTGAGAACCTCCTCCTACGTTGCTGGAGTAAATGATGATAAACGGTGAAGTGCTGTTGAAGGTTCTTCATATGACCAGTCATCAACTACGTTGAAACAAGTACGATTTGCCTGAACAGATTGGCAAGAGTCACATCAGACGTAGCATCTAGAAGTGGCGACTCTTGACTTCGGTGAAGAAGTTCATCTATTATTTGGAAGATTCGCTTTTGATTTTTCGCAGGCTCGACAAATAGATCACTGAAGTAGTTGCAGTTTGCTTTATGATTCAACGCCTTTACCCTCTGTTTCTTTTGAGTGTAGCGCTGACGATCAATTTCTAAGTGCGTTCATCCCTGTTGATGTTCCAATCTCCAACGCTTCCTTTTCTCCTCATAGATTTGAGGATTATACCATGACGAAAACCAACGAACAGACCGAGTCTTTGCTGGGGCGTGTAAGTCGAGTATTCAGCGGAGCACATCTGTGTAGTGTTCTGCTAGCCTATTAACATCGTCATCAGGTAAAGATTCGAAGTCAGCTTTGGCAATGTCAGAACAGAACGAGTCGAGACCGATGCTTCGAAAATTCCGTACAGTGATTGTCTTAGTTGAAGCCGGTGGTGTATTCAGCAAAAGTTTACAGATCACTGCGCTATGGTCGCTCATCCCGTCAATAACCTGAGATCAGTAAAAATGGGAGAATCTGATACATGAGTGATGAACAAATCGAGTGTATGTCCATGTTGGTGTGTAGGGACATCCACATGTTGTTGACGTCCACTGGCTGACAAAAATGACAGAAAAGATTGGGTTGAGACATCCAGTGCAGAATCAACTGAATATTGAAGTTGCCGGTTATCACAATGGGTGCCGCTCTCAGCAAATGATGATCTACAAGATAGGAGAATTCCTGCATAAACACATGGAAGGAACATCCTGTCGATTTGGGTTGCGGGCGGTATACAATTATCAAGGAGAGTGAAGTTGATTGTCTGACTACATTGACAGTTAGTGCTTCAAAAGATGCAAACTTTGGTCAGTGTTTTGGATCTGAACGATAAATCCCGACTTGTAGACGAGAATTACACCACCCCTCGTTTAGAACCAGGTCTTGGCACATGCAGAAATGAGTAACCAGGAGGAGTATCCTCTGTCTTGATCCATCCAGGATTCACCGAGCCCCAATATCAAAATTATTCTGGATTACAAAGTCTACGAAGTCTTTAGTTTTGTTCGCACAGATCTAAAGTTAAGAACACAGAATTTGACATCTTTGTTGTGTGAAGATCCTGCAAATGTCTAGTCTTACCAGCTCTACAACCCCTTCATGTGCGTCTTCTGGATTTGACTGGTGGAAATAAATGTACAGCACAAAAATCTTGTTGAGTTTAAGAAACTGAAGACACAGACAGACAGTCTCCCAAAAAGGACAAACTCTATCAGTAACATAAGTTCTTAGGTTGTGTAGGACTTTAGCACTGTACTTGTGGACAGCAGGGAGTCCTGAGCTTAAGTCCATTGTGCAACTCATTTGATTAAGAATGCACTCATTCTGGTACTCTATTGTCCCCAGTAGTTGGCGTTCAATTGATCGGTGTTGCAGTGTGTAGTCAAAGGTTCCTTGCACTGTTGAAACCTTGGAGTTTGAAGGTATCAGAGTTGCTGGAACTGATTGAAAAATATTGCAAATCCAGATGAGCTGGAGTAGACGTGAAGTGCTCATGCCATTTTTCGATTGTGGGAAAAAATCCTTTACGTACTTAATCTGGCCCATGCAGATTTAAAAGGATATGATTGCAACATTTAAAAAGAACAGATAGCAGCACTGAAGAGCAAAAAAGTGAACGCATTTTGAGTGCACATGTACAGTATACAGAAATACAGGCAATGTAAGTGCGTCACGCGCAATGAACGCACTGGTATCCATCGTTTTTCCCATACTTTTCAAAATCACGGTTATATGCGCAAGACTGGTGGTCTTCCATTTCTACATATCGTCAGTATTAAATTAATGGTTGTGAACTAGTGCCCGAGTATGAACGAAACCAGTGTATTGGATTGGCAGGCTTTCGAATACTTCCCTTCAACAAGCTACACGTAGGCAAATGATACTTTCGATTTCATGCAAGAAATAAGTAGACCTCCACCTGTGAAATGCATTTATGAATTTGAATGAAACAATTTTGAAAATGTGTGGGATAAACAACAGCACTGTCCAGATAAGTCATCAGTGAGACGCTGTAAAATAATGGAATGACCTACTGTCGAAAGCAGGTTGGGTAAGGCTGCACGACTTGGCAAGTGTATCATCGTTCTTGACAAGAACCTAAAGTTGAGTGTGTGGTCTGCTTTGTAAGTTGGGCCTTGAATCATCTACCGGTACTTATAGTTACATGCAGTTAGGCGAGGCAATGATTGCATGAAAGGTACTTACCTCACGCTTGGATGGACATAGTGGTGATTGAAGTCACTGAAGTATCAATGTTCTTCCAGGAAGATGACCCAGACAACACCTCGAATTAACTGAGAAAATCAGAGTCAGGGGATGATCGGAGCCGGCAAACGACTGCAAAGTGATGCAGGTGAACGCTTAGAAGTGGAGATATAAAACAGCACACGATCGCTAAGCTGTGGATGTGTCTTGTGGACAGTTTATATACACTCCCACTCCCACC